AAACCCCGTCTCTACTAAAAATACAAAAATTAGCTGGGCATGGTGGCGCACGCCTGTAGTCCCAGCTACTCGGGAGGCTGAGGCAGGAGAATTGCTTGAACCCAGGAGGCGGAGGTTGCGGTGAGCCGAGATTGCGCCATTGCACTCCAGCCTGGGTAACAAGAGCGAAACTCCGTCTCAAAAAAAATAAATAAATAAAAATAAAAGTCTGTGCTCAAGAGAGTTAAAGCATAAGATGGGAAAAATGAATTTTAGGAATTATGTGAAGTTACAAAAGACAGGAGTTTGAATCAAAGCTTTGGCATTTATTAGTTACATGACTACTCTCCACTCTCATTCTGTAAGAGGAATCAGTGTTTCAGCTTCTTCATCTATAATAATGGGGCTGACACCATTTACTTCATATAGAGTTTTAAGCTTTAGAGCTAATTTAAATACCTAGCACAGTACATTGCATATGAATACTCAATAAACATTGACTATACTCAAGTTTCTCCTTTCATGTTTCTAAAACTAATTTCATGGGTCTAATGTCATAACTCTAAGCAGCAATCACACAGTATTTCCTATTTACACTAGTTATTTACTATTATTATTATTTTTGGAGGCGGGTTTTGCTCCTTTCCTAGGCTGGAGTCTGATGGCATGATCTCAGCTCACTGCAACTTCTGCCTCCCAGGTTCAAGTGATTCTCCTGCCTCAGCCTCCTGAGTAGCTGGGATTACAACACCCGCCACCATAGCTGGCTAATTTTTGTATTTTTAGTAGAGATGGGATTTTGCCTTATTGGCCAGGCTGGTCTCCAACTCCTGACCTCAAGTGATCAGCCCACCTCAGCCTCCCAAAGTGTCAGGATTACAGGCGTGAGCCACCACGCCTGGTCTTTACAGTTGTTTTGGTCCAATTAGCAATGGGGAGTGAGAGTTGTGTTTTTCCAGCACTTAGTAAGTTTTAATGGTCCCAGTATAAAAACAGGAGCATCTTGTTAAGATAATGTATATAAAAAATAACGTATATATTTCCCAAAAAGAAAAAGGTCATACCTGGCATTTGGACTCAGATATTCTACTTGGAGTATTATACGCTTTTAAATAGAAACTATTTTGAAAGAAAAAATAATAGGGATTTAAAAATTAAGACGACTAGAAAACTCACCTGAGTTTCTCTTTCTTTTTTAGCCATGAGTTCAAGTTCCTCTTTGGCATTACTCAGTTCTTTTCCAGCCCTGCCACTGTATTCAAGTCTCCTAAAATGAAAATAGAGTGCTAGTTTTAATTGCTATGAACATAATGTGATATCAGCTGCCTTCTTTGAGGAATTTACTGAGGACACATTCCAATAACAAGAAAAAAATAAAACATATACACAGGTTGTTCTTTGTAGCATTATTTATAAGAGCTAAATACCACAGTCATCCTGCATTCTATAAACAAAAGATTGAATAAAGTATAGTATATTCACAGATGGAACTATATACTGATGTAAAAAAAGAATAAGGATGATCTTTTATCAACTTATATGGAGTGATTTGGAAATCCTGAGACTATGTTAAGGAAAACAAGCTACATGCTTAAGAATACATCTAAGGTAACAGGTTTTACATTAGGAAAAGGGGGAATAAGAATATACATATATACATTACATATACACAGATGATTCATTTGCCAATTTTTGCAAGAAGATACACAGGAAGAATAACCAAGAAATGAAACTGATTACCTTCAGGAGATGAGTGGAAACAGGAGAGAGGGGATAGGGAAAGAGATGGGACATCTGAGTATATCATTTTATATACTGGAGTTTTGAACTGTGTTAACGTTTAATTCCTAATATGTAAGTCAGCTTGTCAATTAATGGGACATAAAAAAAGTAAAATTCAATCCTAATATCAACAAATGAATCTATATAGTAAATAGATAATAAAACCAGCCGGAAGATAAAACAAATTAATCCAAATAATTTTTGAACTCACTAACTGAACAGTGTCATTGCAAAATACCCTAAGGATAAAAAGAATCACAAAACTACCTTAAGGATAAAAAGAATTACAAAAAAAGGTAAACATTACAGAATACATTCACTGTTGATAGCGGTTATTTATGTAGTAATTCTGAAACTACTTTTGCATAGTATACTATTCTGCAAATGTGTAAATATTTTGAAATATAGTGACGTCGTAAGTAATCAAGGCTCTCAAGGAGATACGAATATGAAATGAAGGAAAAAAGAACCTATACTGTTAAGTTAGAATTACAGAAGTCAGTATTAAATCTTCGTATGTATACAAATACACACATATATACTTAAAAATATTCACTGCTAGCTCTGTTCACTAAAAGGGCCTAGAAGCAAAAGGTATTCATGTGGCAATGAAGACATCTTGTGCCCAGATCACAGTTTGTCAATGCCATTACCCACTGAAAGGAACCAGGGAGCTCTTTAGGATAATGGCTGATTCTGGGACTGAGGCAGGTAAAGTAAAAGGTAATCATAGAACATCTTACTGTGCCAGAAACTATGAAAGGACAAAAAACAAAGAAACCAAAAAAAACTGATGGGGATATGGCAAAGGGTCAGAGAAACAGCTCGATGACATTCCCACTGACTGAATCTGGGTTAATTTGAGGAGCAAAGGAAATAATGACGGAAATCAATAATATAATGATTTTTGAAAATCCATATTGATAAAAACAAATGGAGTACAGAAATAGGGGAAGGACAGCTCTTCTTTATAAAATAATATCCATAAAGAAATAAAAAAGAAATTTTACAAACAGAAAATCGTAATTTTTTTTTTTTGAGACTGAGTCTCATTCTGTCACCAGGCTGGTGTGCAGTGGGGCAACCTTTCTGCCTCCTGGATTCAAGCGGTTCTCCTGCCTCAGCCTCCTGCATAGCTGGGATTACTGGCATGTACCACCAAGCCTGACTAATTTTTGTATTTTTAGCAGAGACGTAGCTTCATCATATTGCCCGGTCTGGCCTCGAACTCCTGAGCTCAAGTGATCCACTCTCCTGGGCCTTCCAAAGTGCTGGGATTAAAGGCATGAGCCACCATGCCCAGCCCTGAAAAATCACTATTTTTAAGCTACCAATGTAAGAGTTGGTTCAAGCAAGGCTCAAATGATACTACAGCCACTGAGTGAATGATTGCTGGAAAACAGAACTGTCAACATCTCAAATTCAGCCAGCAGATGACTTACATATAAAGAGGAAAATGAACCTTAAGCAATGGAGAGATTTGGCAGCTACAACCTTAACCAACTGACTAGATTTCATATCACCAAGGATCATACAAACTGATTATCATGCACTGATGTGATGCACTAAGAAAGATGTCATCCAGGCTCACACCTGTAATCCCAGCACTTTGGGAGGCTGGAAGGTGGATCACTTCAGGCTAGGAGTTCTAGACCAGCCTGGCCAACACAGTCAAACCCCATCTCTAAAATTACAAAACGAAACAAAACAAACAAACTAGCTAATCATGGTGACGCATGCCTGTAGTTCTAGCTCCACTTTGGAAGGCTGAGGTGAGAAGATCGCTTGAACCCGGGAAACAGAGGCTGCATTGCGCTGAGATGGCGCCACTGCAATCCAGCCTGGGCAATGACAGATTGTGTCTCAAAAAAAAAAAAAAAAAAAAAAGAGAAAAAAAGAAACAGGGTAGGGTAGGGTGGGGTGGGGAGAGGAGGGGAGGGGAGGGGAAATTCATCCATATTGTATTCCTGCCAAAAATGTTTAACTGGAATCTAACTACGAGAAAAGAATCATGGCTAAATTGAGGAATATTCGCAGTCCTGAATTCTTCAAAAGCCAGTCTCGCCAAAAAGAAATAAAAGCTAGGCCGGGTGTGGTGGCTCACGTCTGTAAACCCAGCACTTTGGGGGGCCGAGGTGGGCAGATCACAAGGTCAAGGGATCAAGACCATTCTGGCCATGATGAAACCCCCTCTCTACTAAAAATACAAAAATTAGCTGGGTGTGGCGGGACGCGCCTGTAGTCCCAGCTACTCGGGAGGCTGAAGCGGAAGAATCGCTTGAACCCAGGAGGCGGAGGTTGCAGTGAGCCGAGATTGCGCCACTGCACTCCAGCCTGGTGACAGAGCAAGACTCTGTCTCAAAAAAAAAAAAGTAAAAGCTAAACAATTGTTCTAGATTAGAGACTAAGAGACATGACAACTAAGCACAATGCATAAGCCCTGGGTTGGGGGGAATCAAACTAGCTATACAGAACATTATTGGGACAACAGGAACTCTGAATGTGGGCTGTGTATTAGATACTAAGCCAATATCAAGGTTAAATTGTATTGTAGCTATGTAGAAGAATGGCCTTGTTCTTAGGAAATACTGACGTATGCAGCATAAAGTGTCATGATTTCTGTAAGAAATTCTCCAACGGTTCAGAAAATACATTACATCCACATATATGTGTGTGTGTACATACAAAGAAATAAGGCAAATGTGGCAGAATGTTAACAACTGGTCTGAATAAAAACGTTTATGAGTCTTCACTATACTATTCTTGCCCCTTTTCTGTAGGTTTGAAATTTCCAAAATATAAAATTTAGAGAAAAGTACACTTTTTTAAAAAAGCAAATAAAGAATAAACAAAACAAATCCAACATTATTTTACTCTTTGATTAGTATAAAGTTTTCAAACTAGAGAATGACTACTCGTAAGACTTTTCTAAACCATCCCCTGAATGGGGCTAGGCTTGGCAAATAACTCAATGCACACGGCCTGCCCTTCCTGACAGTTTCGTGTAGGTGATGTCGAGTTACAGCGAGTGGCCCCAGACTTGACAGATACCCGGGAAAAGCTGTCCCCGCACGGCCCTGCTGTGCAGGACTGGAACCACTGCCTCCTGCATTTCTGAATCCCTGCAAAACTATCTGAAAAGGAGAACAAGGACAGACTTTCTCTGGGCCAAATTGTGACCCCAAAGCAACAACCTCAACTCAACATGAGGTAAGGACAGTTCTTCAGCCTTTCAGGGGAATTCCAAACTTATTTTTTCCGTTAAGTGAGGAAGAGAAAAGAATCTTAGCCAAACCTATTACCTGCGGTCAGCGGGTTGGCGGCGACTCAGGCGCTGACAGTGTCAGTGGCGTCCGCGGCGCGGTCGGCGTCAGCGGTGTCCAAAGGGTCAGCGACGTCCCATGCGCTAACGGCGTCAGCGGCGTGACGGCAGCATCACGGCAGCGTCCCAGGCGCAGATGGCATCGGCGGCGGGATCGGCGCGGTCAGCGGTTCGGCGGCATCCCGGGGCGTCGGCGTCTAATGGGCGTCCACGGCGTCTGCGGCTAGACAGCGGCGTCCGCGGCGCGGTCGGCACATCAGCGGCGTCGGAGGCGCGTCGGCGGCGTCTGCGGGGCGTCGGCGGCGACCCAGGCGCGGATGACAACCGCGGCGCGGTCGGCGTGTCCGAATGTCAGCAGCACGGTAAGCTGGTTGGGGGCATCCACTGCGCGGTCAGCGGTTCGGCGGCGTCCCAAGCGCTGACAGCGTCAGTGGCGTCGGCAGCGCGGTGGGAGCGTCGTGGGCGTCCGCCGCTTCCGCGGGGTCTGCGGCGCCACGGCGGCGCCCAAGGCGCCATCCGCGCGTCGGGGGCGTCTGCGGCATAGTTGGCCCGTCCGCGGCGTCCGAGGCGTGACGGCGGCGTCCCAGGCGCGGATGGCATCAGCAGCGCGGTCGGCGCATCGGGAATGTCGGCGGTGGCCGCGGTGCGGTCAGTGGGTTGGCAGCGTCCCAGGCGGTGACAGCATCAGTGGCCTTGGCGGCGAGGCAGGCGCGTTGGGGGCGTTAGCGGCGTGGTTCGCACGTCGGGGGGCGTCCGCGGCGCGGTCGGCGTAGGCTGCGTCCAGAGGATCTGTGGCGTCCGCGCCGAGGTCGGCGCGTCAGTGACGTCAGCGGTGTGGCGACGGTGGCCTCCGCGGGGTCTGCGGCGCGACGGCGGCGTCTGCAGATAACATCGGCTGCGTGTGGGAGTGTCGGCGCGGTAGGCTGGTCCGCGGCACCCACTGCGCGGTCAGCGGTTCGGCGGCTTCCCAGCCGCTTATAGCGTTAGTGGCATTGTCAGCGCGGTAGGCTCGTCGGGGACATTTGCGGCGCAGTCAGCGGTTCCGCGGCGTCCCAGGCGCTGACCGCGTCAGTGGCGTCAGCGGCGCAGTCGGCGTGTCTCAGGGGCTGACGGCGTC